GTCTAACATCAAACGGAAATACTATTATTGTATTATTATAATTATATTATTAACAACAATATCGAAAAGAGTTGTTTTATCAATAAGCCTATGCCTATAATTGGAATTCCTATGTTGAATAGTCGATCAATGAGAATACTTGCAAACTTTTAAAATTGTTGTGTCTCTTTAATTCTTAATAGCAGAATTAAACCTAAAACTAATGGCCAACTCAGACAGCGTCGGCCGACGCAGCCCGACGCGATTTGTTGTCGCGTCGGGTCTGTGTGAGTTGAACGCAGACGCGATGGTGTGCGTCGGGGGCAGTCGCGCAGTAGAATATTAAACGTGTTTAATATTTCTCACGACGGCTTAAGACTGTCCCCGACGATAAATCGGGTCGGGCTGCGTCGGCCGACGCTGTCTGAGTTGGCCTTAAGAGCTACTGAACTATCCTCGGCGAAATAAACCAAGTATGTCAAGTTTAAACTGGACAAAGCAAAAGTTCTAAACAATTGGTGCGTTCCTTAGGAACGCGTCCAAGCTCACGCGCCATCTCTATAGCTATGGACACGCACAGTCAACATAATACAGAGGGCAAGCACTGAATGAGTTAATGTACCTATGTTACATATATACCACAATACTGCACTGACCGTATCGTCGGCTTGGTTAATTCCTCTATATTACTAATATTATTAATGTTACTATGTTAATGTTATTATTAATATTACTAATGACGCAGATGTACCGCTACATTCTGTACCACCGTTTCATGTCCTATTATTACTAACGATATCCCTGCACTTTGTTTATTATCACATTGCTGAAATATTTTGTTTTCTTCTAGATCTATATCATGGATCCAACAGTGCAAAAAGATGTTTCAAAAAACGATAACAACACAACTAAATCTATTAATGACTTCATTGAGCGCCACTTTCCTTCAGCACCACCACTTACGTCATCTCCTGTAAATTTAGCTTGTAGACCTTCAGAAATATTACCATCTTCCCAAAGCCATCTACCTTCTTCTAGAGAGAGCAGCAGAGCCAGCTCACATCCAATATTAACAGTCACACAGTCCCCTCGAGTTCCTCCTCCTGTAGCCCCTAAACCACGTCAACCACCTAAAATCACTAGGATAGGCCAAGAAAATGGGTCGTCACCTATTTCAAGTGGCGGTGGTCCACTTCTACATCCTCCACTTTCTCCGCTCGATGCTGTTGCAGGAACACCACCCATGTCACTGCCTGTAAATTCAGTTTGTAAACCTCCAGCAGTATTACAATCATCCCAAAGCCTTCTGACTTCTTCGAGAGATAGCAGCAGAGCCTGCTCACAATCACTATTCGCAGTAATACATCCGTGTCGAGTTCCCCCTCCTGTACCCCCTAAACCATGTAAGCCACTCAAAATCACTAGGACAGGTCATTCAAGTGGTTCTCTTTCACCACCTCCACCGTGGTCCCCTGTAAATTCAGGTTGTAGACCATCTGCAGTATTGCCGTCATCTCTTCGAAGCCTTCTACCTTCCTCTGGAGACAGTATGAGAGCTGCCTTACAACCACTATTAGCAGCAACACAGTCGGCTCCAGTTCCGCCCCCTGTAGCCCCTAAACCATGTCAACCACGCAAAATCACCAGGCCAGGCCAAGCAAATGGGCCACAACCTCTTTCAAGAAATAATGGTCATCTTACACAACCTCTACTTCCTCCAACATCTGCTGCTGCGACACCACCACCCACGTCACCTCGTGTAAATTCAGCTCCTAGACCTTCAAAAGTATTACAATCATCCCGAAATCTATCTTCTTCAGGAGATAGTAGCACATCCAGCTTACATCCGCTATTAGCAATAAAACAGTCGTCTCGAGTCCCTCCTCCTGTAGCCCCTAAGCCATGTCAACCACCTAAAATCACCAAAGTTCCGCCTCCTGTAGCCGCTAAACCATGTCAACCACTCAAAATCACCAGGCCAGGTCAAGCAAGTGGGCCACAACCTCTTCCAAGAGGTCATAGTCCTCTTTCACAACCTCTACTTCATCGAACATCTACTGTTGCGACACCACCACCCACGTCACCAGCTCTTGTAAATTCAGTTTGTAGACCCTCAACAGTATTACAATCATCCCAGAATCTCTTACATTCTTCAGGAGATAGCGCCAAAGCCAGCTTACATCCACTATTAGCAGTAACACAGTCGTCTCGAGTTCCTCCTCCTGTAGCCCCTAAGCCATGTCAACCATCTAAAATTACCAAAGTTCCGCCTCCTGTAGCCCCTAAACCATGTCAACCACTCAAAATAACTAGGCCAGTTCAAGCAAATGGGCCACAACCTCCTTCAAGAAGTAATAGTCCTCTTTCACAACCACTACTTCCTCCAACATCTACTGTTGCGACACCACCACCCACGTCACCAGCTCCTGTAAATTCAGCTTGTAGACCTTCAACTGTATTAAAATCATCCAAAAATCTTATACATTCTTCAGGAGATAGCAGCAAAGCCAGCTTACATCCACTATCAGCAGTAAAACAGTCGTCTAGAGGCGCTCCTCCTGTAGCCCCTAAGCCATGTCCACCACCTAAAAGTACTAAACCAGGTCAAGGAAGAAAACCGCCCCCCGCTACTATGACAGGACCGGTACTTCGAACATCTCTTACTTTAGAGGGCAGTGGTCAAAATCGTCGTAATAATGTTGTTCAGAAGAAAACTGTGGAATTCCAACATGGTGAGTAGATATTAACTTAATTATTACAATATACCATAATCATAAGAATAAATACTCCTTTCTAAATATAGGAAACTATGTCACCCGACTATGAGCGTAATTGTTGCAGTAACAGTGTCAAAGAGATTACAAGTTTTGTTTTTTCTCGTTTAGCTATGTTACACTCTTATGTTTTTCGTATAGGTTTTGATCTTGTCCAAGTACAGGAGGAGAAAAAGAACTTTCTCATGATTCAATCACTCGTAATTGATGTTGGAACTGAGCAGATGAGGAAGTATTTTCTTAAGGAAACCGGAGTTAAGAGAGAAAATGTTGGACAATTTCTCATACAGGAGCAGGACGGTTCCTTAAAGAATATCAAACTTGTTCTCGACCAGAAGCAAATAATGTACAAAAAAGATGCTGATATCAGAAGATTTGATATCACAATAATGATGATACTGATTCGGTATTGCTGTAATGTATCACAACCAGACAAATTCTGGGGAAATCCTCGAAGAAAAGATAAGTCAAAGCTAGCTAATTTAGTAAGAATACAAAAGTACAGAAATACCAAGATAGCACATAATCCAGACCTTAGAATTCCAGCCGCTGAGTTTAAAAAAGATTGGAGAACACTAACATCAATTTTCAAGGGCTTGGGCGTTACGCCTGATGAAATTAACAAGTATCGCCAAATAGATATTTAGCGTAACGATTATAGTTATTAGGTAAGCTAGGCCGTTACCAAGCTAACACTTCGAAGTTGTAATAACGTTATAATATTTTTATACTTTGTTGTACTGCGAGCACATTTACTTGCAGATACAATCGGTATTGTTGGCTTGTGTGAAACATGGTTGAATGAAACTGTTTGGGATACTGAATCTGCTTTGATAATTTTTTTACATGTCCAGGAGAGATAGAGGTGATGGAAGAAGAGGTGGTGGTTTGCTGTTACTAGTGCATAATAACAGTAAAGTCTTCTCGCATTAGTGACATGGAAAATGATAAACAAGCACATACATTAGGCCATTGGCTGTAATCGTATCACTAACGGTTTGAAAGCTGATTCTGTTCCGCTCTCTATTCCCTTAATTTAAATCAATGTCTGCCTCTCTTATATTAAAACCTTTATGTTTTTCTTTTAAGATTGGCGATATTGGTTTAGAAATTTTAATTTTCTTTTCATCGCGATTTTTTTTTTATTGGCTGTTAAGCTAACGTTTTGTAAACATATTGATTATGTTATTCGTTATGGAAACATAATGCCTTGTTTCATTTTGGAGACATTGTAGAGAAATCAATTGCTCTGGTGCCATTATTGCCTTATATCTTTATTTAGTTACAGTACTTATAATTTTGAATATTGTTGTGTTTTTAGTTCTGCTTCCGAATCTTATTTAATTGGCATCAATAGGATGCATTTTAAGTTCATGAGGTTTTTCGAAAAATGATTCAATCGCCCTTGTAAATTAATTTGCCCTAGAAATAGATTTTTATTTCACGATATGGTATTTCTTTATATATGTGTCTTTTCGTATTTTAGTTGTGATTTTATACATAACAATAATAATAATATTTAAATACTTGTAATGCGCCGATTAAATGATCCAAGAAGCCAAGCTGTTAAAGAGATGCATTTTAAGTTCTGATTTAAATGTAACAATAGATGTATCACACCTAAGAAGGTAGAAGAAGGTAGTTCATTTCAAAGATACGCGGCAGCAGATAATTTGTAAATGTTCTTTGGGCATAGTTGTTGTGTCAGATTTCGGAACAGTGAGAAGATTTTGCGAAGAAGACCGAAGGCGACGTGTGGGCAAGCGAGTAAGATGTGTGTGTGTCTTAGTTAAGGTAAGAAGTGCTTTAAACGTTAGAAGTGTTTTAAAGCTGTTTGATGTGTAGCCAGTGAAAACTTTGAAGTACAGGTGAAACATGGGAATATTTTGGAGTTAAAGAGCACACACGGACAACTGATATTCTTTTAAAAAAAATCTCATTTGGGAGGGGGAACGCCCCTCTCAACTCCTTCTCCCAGCTCGAGCCTACGAGTGTCGGACAACTTAGCGCCCCCCACCCCACCCAGAAATATATCCTAGAGCAGCCACTGGATACCTAATACATCGATATGTCATAAACTGTTAGTCATAGAGACTAAGTTTGGCCTTAAATTGTTCAGAACATGCATTAACTTTATTTGCACTAATATAATGTTTTGTCTAAAAGTGACTGGGAATGACATTCTGACCTTTGAACCAAGGGCCTAGCAGCATTATCATATCTTAATTGTTTGTCAGAGACTTAAAATACACATGTTTCTAATTGTACTTTTGCAATGTTTTGTCAAAAAGTGAACTAAATGGCATGACATTTGACCCTAGGTACCTTGCAGTATATTCTGATCACCATAACCGTTGGTCATAACCAAATTTTGGGGTCAAATTATTAGAAAAATACATGTATCTATTTGCTCTAATGCTGCATTTTGTCCGAAAGTGATCGCAAATGATATACCTGACCTTTGAGCCTAGATAACCAGCATAGCTATACCGTTAAGGTATATACATGTCCATATATCAGATAATACTATCACTATATGTACTAATGTATGCTCTTGCAACACGGTAAAGTATTTTGTCCTATGGTAAACTGATATTATATTTCTGACGTCTGACTTTAGTTGACTCGAAATATTCGATACCCTTATTAGTGGTAATGGCACTAATGTACAGTCCTTGCTGAAATCCCTGTTTTGTTGTGTAGGTGTAAGGGAACACTGGGGTCCAACTTTAAAAAGGGCGATGAACATTTGTTGGAAATCACCTCTAATTTAAGTCACAAAATTTCCTGCACGTCCGTTAAAAACCGGCGACGCTTTACACGCTTCTAAAGTTTGAAACCCCTGTTTTGTTTTGTAGATGTAAGGGGAACCCATGGGTTCCAATTTAAAAAAAAACGGGCGATGACCATTTTTTGGAAATCACCTCTAGTTTTATGTGTGGAAAATTTCCTGTACGTCCGTTTAAAACTGGCGACGCTGGACGCTTTTAATGTTTGTAAAGTTTTGGTAACAAGAACAAGAACAAGAACAACAGTAAAGCTCTGGGGTCAGCGCTTCGCGTGGTCCAATAACAGTTTGCAGTTTGTATCAAAATTTCATGAAGCTTGGTCACAATGTTCCATGACCAACGATCTAAAGATGATTACATTTTAAAGGTTCAGGGTCAAAATGTCAATGTCACAATTGGCGAAAATCGACTTTATTTATATAACAGCTACGTCAGTCCTCAGTTTTTACAAGTACTTTTGAAGCTGTATGCCGTATGGACGTGTGTTCTTACGGGGTGAAACAAAACATTAATTTTACAACGATACATGTGAACACCGTTTGGTGCAGTAGTTGTGTTTTCATACTACCAACCCCGGGTTCGAATCAAATGATATGTCTATTGTTTTATTTTATTACCTTTTATTTCATTGTCTGTATATACGAAACATAATAACACCTTATTACAGATCAAGCCATTTAGGCATCAGCATTAAATACATTTTTTATGGGGACAATATGCGTGGAAAATTTGTACAAAGGAAAATTATTATATGTGCGGAGGTTGCACTTTCAGAGTGCCCTGTAGTTAGTATTAGTGTTATCAAGGAGGTTAACCTCCTTGGTGTTGTTAATAGAGCAGCAGGAGCATGGTAGATAGCAGGAACACTTTTCGTGTTCTAATAAAACAAAAACAGATTTATTATGGCAAGATTACTAGGGTCAGTTTACAAAAGCTCGAGCAAAGTCGCGTTGTCATAGTGACGTCGATCAGTTCAGACTTAGGTAGATAAACCCGGCTGAACTCACTGGGTTTATCCACCTGCCAGTCAGAATTAGGTGGCTATCTCAAGCCGGGCTGTGTTCTGATAGTAACTAGGCATGGCGTGCCACCGTGTTTATCTTTTCTAAACCGGGCTTTAATCGCTGCGGGGGGTCTTGCGTTGACTTCGGGTAAAAAAAAGATGACCAATCAGCATGCAATTGCCTGGTTCACACTCAATTTTTAACGAAATCTTCGGTATCACGAACTTCTTCGTGAACCTGCAGGAAGCAAATAACGTGATCTTCAAGATCACATTAAACCTTGTTAACATGATCTTCTAGAGCACGAGAATCATGCTCTTGGAAGTTGATCGTGATAAATTAGGGTGCGTTCGGGCGAGGTTTTTTTTGGTGTTGAACACGGAGTAAAAGCGGTAACAGCAATTTCTAGTTTTCGCCCGAACGGGTGTTAATCGCGGACCGCCTGCTGATATTCGCCGATAACCCAACGCTGCAAATTGCAGTGTTCTGGAGGATTAAAACTAGCCTATTTGCGCATGCGTTAGCAGCAGGGAGCATTTAATCCTATTTAATCCTTTTTTGATTGCTCTTTAATTGTTTCGGCACGCGCCAGAGCTAAAGTTTGTTTACATTTTAATTCTCTCGATTCTTTTTACAGTTATTTTCCAAAAACAAAACTGAAAAGCTAACGTTGTAATAACGTTACAGTTTGGTGATAAAAACGTTATTTTGTAGAACCATTATGTACGTACTTATAACCTTATGTCACAACGTTTGAACGTTTTTACTACATTCACAAACTTTGGTTTTGTGTTTGCTGGGTAGGTCCTATAACCATATTTTAAATAAAACGTCTGAAACAAATCAAATCGATATGTATACGGTATAGGTATTCATATTGGATCACTCTTTAGGATCTGTCTCTTATACACATCTAGATGTGTATAAGAGACAAGGTTATTATACAGGTCACCGCACGCGTGAATTGTTAGATGCTTTCCTCCTTTTCGTCGCATTTTTCATTAAATACGGTATGATACGCCATAAATGGAACATTAAAGAGAAGAGAGATCTGGAACGAACCAGAGATGAAAAAAAAATATATTCGCCCAATTCCCGCATCTCTTGCTCGTATCTCAGGTATCTTGTCCATCTAAGTTGTTCAATTATTTTTACCGTCCTACGCTGGCTGCTTCTAATGTAATCGAACAAGGCCATAAGAAATAAAATATTTTTGTGCACGACATATCTTCATTATTTTGATTAAAATTGAAGCAAAAGTTGCAAAATTGTGTGCAAAGTATAGACAACATGGAAATTCGAAATCGATTATCAATGTGTGTAAGAGTTGACCTTTGTAGTTTGGCCTTTCATGCAACACTGAACCTAATTAGCATATCTTTACCATGATGTTTATTTTTTACATGAATTCGATGTGAACGCTTTTCAAATAACGTGCTAACTGATATCACGTTATGAAAGCACGTTAAAAATTCTGTATGAACGTACCTAGTTACGTGTGCTACATGAGCAAGCATACGTTTCGCGTACGAGCGTTTTCGTTTCCTGGTTACGGTCAATACTATGCAATTTTCGCGCCTGGCTAATCCCTCTAGTCTGAACGCCTGCATAATAGTGAAAAACAGGGCCCCCGTGACCATTTTTCGGGGACCAAGGTTTCTCTACTGATTTGCCATCACTAGGGTATAAATTAAAAAAATGAGTGGGGGTGAGCCTCCAGAAAAAGGGCAAAACATGTTTTTTGGCGGCCATTTTTAAAATGGCCACCAAAATTATGGTAATGGCTCATAACTTTAATTTAACTCGATGAAAAAGGGTAAATCTGGCGTCTAACTATGTTATTAGGATCACTGAATTCAATGAGACATGTTTCAAAAACCTAGGATGGCAGCCATTTTGAAATTCAAGATGGCTGCCATAAAATTGTCAAAAAATGAAATATTTCCACATCTCCTCTATGAAAAATGGGAAACTTGGGTCTAATCATGTTTTTAGGCTCTCTGAGTCCAATAAACATAGTTTCAAAAAGCTGGGATGGCAGCCATTTTGAAATTCAAGATGGCTGCCACAAAAGCTGTCGAGCATCAAAATACTTTGGTATGTAATTCCAATTCGCCTCAACAAAAATGGTAAATTTGGTGTCTAATCATAAATTATATTATTCAATAAACATGGCTTCAAAAGATAAGATGGCAGACATTTTGAAATTCAAAATGGCCGCCACATAAACTGTCAAAAATCTAATATTTTGGTATGTAATTCCACTTCTCCTCAATCAAACACGTTAAATTTGGTGTCTAATAATATGTTATTGTGCCTATGAGTTCAATAAACATGGTTTTAAAAAGCGAGGATGGCAGCCATTTGGAAATTCAAGATGGCCACCACAAAAACCGTTGAAAATCGACAATTTTGTTATGTAATTTTACTTCTCAATAAAAAAAATTGCAAATTTGGTGTCTAATCATAATGTTATTGTGCCCTCCGACTTCAGTAAACATGGTTTCAAAAAGATAGGATGGCCGCCATTTTGAAATTCAAGATGGTCGCCCCAAAAATCATTGAAAATCAAATATTTTGTTTGAATATTTCCACTTGACAAATGAGTATTGTTGTACAAAAAATGAAAAAGAGTTTTATATAGTAGAAAGATGATTATATAGGCTCGAATGTGCTGAAGTACGGTACTGAATCTTTGTTTGGTGGCAATCTTGCAAGTGACTTGCATTTGCTCACCCTTGGCTCTGTTGTGGTTTGCTTTTGAAA